ACAGATCCAACTGCATTTGCTTCGTCTTGGTGTCACGATTACAACACTTGGACCTGATCTGCCTGGAGGCCACAGAGCAGGGCCTCGAAGCACAATTTAGTGCTTTTTTGGGCACCAGACTACCACACCGCCTGTTTGAACAAGCTGTTCCTTTTGTATCGGCCGAGCTGTGTACCAATACAGATGTAAGTGTACGCCAGCCCCCCTCCCCAACAGCCAGCAGCACATACTTTGCATCCAATTGAGTGCTCATAATTCTTAAATTACACTTGCCACAGGATGCTGCCAATTTCACCATTAAACAGAATTCTGCAGGACTGATGCCCTGGTGTTGGTCGTGATTTCTGATCAGCCATCATATCGAGGACTGCATGTATGCAACAGTCCTCTCACAGCAGTTTGACTTTGGGATTTAGAATGACAAGTACAGTTCTTATAAAAAATCTCTTGCTGCTTGCAGAAACTGGAATGCCGGAGGGGCACTCATAGTTCACCTGCAGGCGGTTTGTTAGCTGAACACTGTCAAACTGCTGAACATTTGACCCTTTATTGTTATATAATCTGTCACTTATAGATGGATGTGAGTGTGTGTGTGTCTGTATGTGGCAACAGGACAAGTATAATTTTCTCTTCACCGCTGGGGGAGACATTACCAGGAACTGTTTAAATCACTACAATTACAGTCTGAGCCAACAATGAAAGCTTGTTCTTGCAGATTTTCTCAGTCACTTTGGTTCATTTCTCGGATCAGAACAGAAATTCTCAAAACTACTTGTTCAATCTTCACATTATTGTGTCGCTTGTGCACATCAAAAAAGCAGTTTCTCATTTCTTTGAACGAGTTCTAAATGCTTTGGTACATCCATGCAAATGATTGTGTACAGTTCTCTGCTGTTTCCTGTTGAATAGAGACCTTTCTGTATGGCAATGACATGATCTGTCAACAAATGACAGTATAAACAGTAAAAGCATACATGTGAATCTTGTGCAGTCTCTTGCAATTAATCTCCCACATACACTAAGGTGTAACTCACAATTTACAGTAATTGTCATCAAAACTGTAAGCATAGTTTACATCAGAACATCCCTCCAGAGTACAATTATATTGACAACATGACTAAACAATTTGACTGTCTCATCCGCACACATTGACACAAGGACTTGTCGTTCTGATGCCACTGACATGTTCATTGACACAGATATTTAGTTTTGAGAGACAAACTAAGGGTTTTGCGCAAGTAACTGCCTTTTGCAGGTGTGTTTTGGTCTTTGTATGAATTGTTTTGAGAAATGCTCTTACTGTTTTGTAAATGTCGAGAATGATTTTAAAAATGTACCAAAGCGACAGAGAAAAAGTGTAAAAGGACTGATACAATAAGTGTAATACACTGCACTTACAATAAGACATCTTTAGCAACAAGTGTGTAGACCCTGTAGTCCAGTATGAATCTGTGCCAAACATCGTAGCCATTCTGTTTATTCATTTGTTTGACACATACAGCGCTTATTGAAGAGAAAAAACTATCGTAAATGAGCTGCTAATGAGCCAAATTTAGCCCAAAGTGCTATTTTTCCTCTATTATATCTGTAGTCAACTCGGCAGAGAAATGACATATTGTATTGTCTTCATGGTGCTTATCACAGATAATACATACTGATTAATACCCAGTTTGTATGACTCACTCACTAAGATGGATGCAGTAAGCTCCTGGCCACTATTTATTATGTAAACAGGCAACAGGATGTGTCACACGTCCTATCCGCACAATACATCTTTGTTATGTCAGCAGCCTGGAAAAATGAACAACAGTGTTATCTATCAGTTGGCTGAACCACCACTTTGATCCATACTGCAAGATGTCACCATCTACTGACCTTCCTATAGCACCACAAGCAAGTGCTTTTATTTAAATTTAAAGAAAACGCCTGTGATTGCTGCAAAATTGATGACTAATATTCAGTATCTCAGTCCCATGCCAGAGTTAGCTTCACATCCACATGTTGGATTAGCACAACATTTTGAACTGTCTTCATGGTTCCCAGACATTGAATCCTTGTGATTCTGGTGATGCTTTTAATGTCTTTCTGTATTGTAGAGACACAAGAGCACTACTGAGGGTTTTCTCCTTTTTTCTCCTATACAAATGGATCTGTACTCCTGGATGTACATACGAAGAAGTGAAACTGGAGGAAGGTTGGAGATGTGGAGCAATGGTGCTAAGGGGGTAAATCTAGGCCCTGTTGTAGCCTGTCTCAGATGTCTAAACTCTGGTATTTTTTGTTGCTCTGATCATGATCTGTCCAATTCTGCTTCTGATGCTGTTGGATGGATGGAAATAGGATTCTACTGAGGTTCTTCTACTAGCTCAGGTACATGTTATAAAGTGTCAAATATATCTGCAGAAAAAGAGCAGTGACTTTTAGCCTTTTTGTCTAGTTGTGATTAACATAGTGGAACATGTTTGCTGATCATCCACCATCGATACAAACCTCTGACATGTTTTCCAACCTGAGCAACTATAGAGGTTTGTCCCTACAAGGTAGAAGAGTTTTATCATCATGGTGGCAATAATAAACATCCAGTTAAGGCTATGAATGGTTACCATAAAACCTGAAATAGGAAACCAACAGCAAACCCCCACGTCAATCTCCAATGTTCTGTCAAACCGTCCATCTACCCCAACCTCCTCCAATCGCAGACTTTATAGCTCTATAACTATGTCACCTCACATCCTCCTTTGCTTTCATCCTAATGACTATAGACACTTTAGACACAATTTATCATCATGCACAAATGCCGGTGTCCTATTTTTCGTTTTTATTTTTATGGCAGGGCAATCTCCAAAGCTCACACTGCTGCAGTGCCGTGGGGATGGAAGTCGTTATTCTCAATGACTTTGTAGCTTGGAGGTACTGACTGATGCCACATGTACAGTACTGTAGCTTTGAGCTTATTCAAAAGAGGCTCTCGCTGCTAGATCACATTTCCCCTCATGCTTGTACTTGCAGGAAGTGGCTGGTGGTAAAACATTTGGACGTGCTCTGAGACCTTTTAGGCAAATTTATTTTGTTGCACCTTTCAACCCAAAGGCAACCCAGAGTGCTTCATGGAGTGTACAGTCAGGAGCTCTGATGACTATCTTGGACCTGAACCATTTGGTGATTTATGAACAACAAATAGGGTTCAGAGAGTGATGACTTGAAAAACTGGTAGCAACAAAGAGCCTTTAACATTGAAGTTTTATACTGAACTGTTCCTGTTACAACCTGGTGGCAGCGTTCTGGATGGTTGAAGCTGCTCGTCCATTGCAGTGGTTCAGCCTGCTAAAGATAAAACCATGGACAGCTTCTCTTGATCCTGTGTTGACATCAAGGCCCCGATTTCTAAGCTGGTAGACAGCTGACTTTGTTGTTTGGTGTAAAGTGGGACTTAGGTTTAGTTCCACAGCAATGGTTTATGAGGGTGAGCACAAACTTTAAGTCTTTATTCACTGGTTCTGCTTCAGTTGATGCCCCCATTGACAACACATTTATGACCAAATTATTTCTACTTAAATATTGGTTGTGTTACAAGTCAAACCATTGCTCGTGTTTCTTGAGGGTTACCACACAGTATTTTGTTAAGTTGTACACAAAGACAAAAGACCGTTGCAGGCATTATTTTGCATGATCATCATTATTATAAAGTGTCATAAATGTCTATAATCATTCTGTCTATGCAGCACAAAGGTTATGAAATCTCATCAACTAGACTGCTCTCAACAACTGTAATAACTAGTAATCTTGGTCGATGGAAATCATACCTTCTCTTCAGCCAACTGATTGGCAAAGAAATCTCAAACTTTGAGTAAATAGGAACTGGACTTCTGGTTCTCTCACATCTCATCCAACCTGCTTCTTCAGTCAGCCATGTTGATTTTTGAGCTGTGACACACAAACTGCTACTGATAAAGTTTACTCTGGACTATTCGGCCATCTGTTTGAACAAAATAAACCCAACAACTTGTTTGACATAGGAACATTTGGTAAATGTTAACTGAGTTAAACCCTGCACACTCCGTTAGGTTGGACCAGTTCACAGGTGTGAAAACTCAGGGTTTAACAAGTAGACGGTTCCTCCTGCCACCAAAAATAATGGATTGATCCTGGAAGGCTGTTAATGTAGCACTTGTCTTAGATTCATTTTAAGATGTCAGACAGAGCTGTCATAGAAAAGACAGAAGAATAATCACAATTCAGTGTTGCAGTGCTGTTTGAGTGATTTTGTCCCACACTATTAAAAACATCCTGTCAGCTTTCATGTTTATTTGATGAACTCCTTGGGATTAGGGTATGCAAATGAATCACTCAAGATGAGAGTAGATCCTTTAATTGTAATGACAGATGTTTAAAAAAACTAGAGTAACAGTCTATATAGCGATTATATAATTGTTCATCTTGAAAAATGAGAAGTCAGTCTCTGTTTTAATGAGCAGCGCTAATGATCATCTGTTCAGACACAAAGATCATCTGTTGGTGCACACAGTGAATGTGTTTTGTCAAGATTTATGTGTTGGGTCATGCTCAAGTCTTAGATAAATAAAGTAAATGTGACAGGTTGAGTTTTTACTATCCTGTCACATTTCCAGCTCTCCTCAGTGTCAGTGTTTACAGTCATAACAAAGCACCTCAGTGAGTCTTCTGCCTCCTTCCGTGAACTTTGTGAACCCACTGCGGACATCACGGTGTCTGTTTCTGGCCTCTCTAGCGTCACCAGCGGCAGGGGGCAGATCCAGACCGTACCAAGGGGTTCGAGTCCGGGACCCGGTCAAAGAGCTGCTGAGGAGGAAGAGGAGTCTGGAGCTGCACAGCACCAAGACAGCATCACACACTGGGGTAAGGACACCGTGATACATGACGTTAACCTGCCTTTAACATGATGCATTTTATCAGTTGTGCAGAATTACTTTTATATTGAGGTTTGTGACATTTGGCATTTGAGCCGTACATTTAGTACAATGGCA